AAAGAAATGCATCAAAACATTTTTCTTTTCTTTTTTGGAAATATGACGACCGCGTGTGGGAGCCAGGACGGGGACGAAAACGTTTCAGGCTGGTTTTCCTTTTTGTTTACAGCTGCCAGTACAATGGTTGACTGGTCCTGCTGGTTTCAGTGATGCGGTTCTGCTTCCACAACACCACCTTGGCCAGTTGGAGATTTCAGTGGTGATTTGAGTGCCTAATGTGTGCTTGTTTAAACTGTGTCTGGTCCTGACAAAACGAGCCAATCAGACTGTTTCTTCTGCTTTAAGTAAGCGGCCGTCCCAGCACAGAACGTCCTCCGCCCGACTTGTCACTTGTGGTTCAGCCCACACAATTTGTCTCTGGTCATTATTGAAACTGTGTCGAGGAGGTAAACAAGCAGACACTAATTGTCGGGGCATGCTAGCAAGTTTGGTAATTATGTTTGAATCTCATCCTGTCAGCTTGAGGTGTTTAATCAGTCTAACCATCCAAGTGGACACAAAGCTGCTGCTCCACCTTCCTCCTTGGACAGTTTTGCTTGTGAAATGTTCCTCCTCCCTTTGTTGTGTTTTCTGTTTGCTGTGGGTCAGGCTTCTCTCTTGCGACACCCTGATGCAAACGTGGTTCCTTATATAAAGAAAAGCAGCGTGCCAGGACTGCATCTGTAATCTGTAGCTCTAAATCACAACAGCAGCTGCCCCGCGGTGCTGGTCTCCACATTTCAGGAACAGTGTAGTATTCTGCATGTTCATTAAACACTTGTGTGAATATATTAGTGTTTGATGCACATTTCATGGAATGACAGTGATGATAACACTTGCTTTGTCTGTTTCCATGAAATTGCATCGCCTCTGGACTTAGTTTTCCATTCGGCACAGATCAGTGTGACGCTTACAGAAATCTATGAATAATCAAACAGAGAAGTGAGGGGTCACTTCATTTGTCTCAGCTGTGGATCAAGTGGGAGCTGCTGTTTCAGACCCTAAAAGTTACAACTTCAGCACCGACTTACTCGCCGTATAAAAACGAAAAGACGACTAAATACATTTCCAGAGTTTATGAGGACAAATTACCAGCAGAGTGCACCCTGGTGTTCAGACCTCAGCCTTGGACGTGCACATGCCTGCTCAGAGCTTTGCTGATGTAGACGTGTGCTTGCTGCCTGCAGTCTGGCACTCGGGATTGCTCACAGCTTCCACTCCTGGAACAAACTGTGTAGTGAAGCGTCTTAGCGAGGTGTGTGTCTGAAATGCATATATCTGCAGGCTGCTGCGCAAACACAGTGTTGCACGAGTATGTTTGGATCAGCTGAGTTTGCTCAGCAGATGTGTCTCAGCAGCTCCAGCTTGACTGCTCTGTGCTGCAGTTTAAGGATGTTTCAGTAAATCTAATAAGTTGCATATGAGGTTCATAAGTGATTCCTTGGAGATGGGATTAGTGGTCCAGAATCTTTGCCCATATGTTAGATGTCAGTGTCACTCTTCTTGGTCTGTGTGATTCAGTTCTCATCAGCACCTGGAAGCTGCTGCAGCACTGACACCTTCACAGAAACTCACGTCTGAGACGAATTCAAGTCGTATGATCTCAAAAACAGCAGCCTGCTTTTTAAAATGATTTATTGTTTGTTTGCTTTTTCATTTTTCACCCTCCTTTTCAGTTTTACTGTTGATGCCGTAAACGAGCATTAACAGTGAGTATTTCCTGCTGTAGAAAACAACCTGTTCAATCCACTGTCATTGTTTAACAGACATTCGCTTGATGGCCTGAAAGTAATTTTTTAGAATGAAAAAAGACAAAAACGATTGCTTGTATGTGCTGGGCTGTTTTCAGAAGGGGAAACCCAGATTTGATCAGTGCTGACCAGGACGACTCCTGGGACAGTCGAGCAGCGGGGGGGGGCGGGACCGTGGTGTGTTCAGTGTTTCGGACTGGTTTGATTATAAAGGGAACCAATCTTCATTTCTACCTTTAAGATATTTTTTGTTTTATTAACAGCACATTTAGTCCTAAATGTTCAACAACTCTGTCGGGCTTAAGCTAGGAAAGGTATCTGTGAAGGACCCAGCAGCTGCTCTCATGTTTGACTGCTGCTCAGCTGCTGCTGACGTAAGAAAGAAAGTCTTCAGTGTCCTGATGAATGTGGTGAAAGTTTCCTGTTTACACACAACAGGTTCCATTTGTTTTGCTCGTCGCTTTAACGCCGTCTTCCTCTTCTTGAACATATGATCATCACAAGCTGGCGCGTGCATGTGCGTATTCAGCGCACAGGGAGAGGTCATATGACAGACAGCATCAGCGATGAAGGCACACGCTAAACACAGACTTTTTTCATTGCTGCTACTGGATGAGAACACTCAATTGTTAGTATTTGATGATGTTTATATATATAGTTTGTATTGTCAGACAGACGTCTAAGACTGAGAGTAAAACCGAGGGACTTCCAAAACCAACAGAAAAGCTGCAACACTGTAAGACATGAACTTAATCCTTTATTTCACACGTTTTTCACTCATGCATGACTGAGGGGCAAATTTTAACTTTAAGTTGACATTAAATGTGCAAAACAAAGTGATGCAAAAGCATCTTTTTTATTTCTAACACATAAAATCTCCAGTTCCTGCTGGTCTCTGATTAAACTCAGTTGTAAACCTCACTTCCAGCTCCTATGTGACAAGTGTCAGGCTGGAGCAAATAACATTGTTCAAGTATGATCATAGCCTTAAACCTGTGTGTGAGTGAGTGTGTGTGTGTGTGTGTGTGTGTGTGTGTGTGTGTGTGTGTGTGTGTGTGTGTGTGTGTGTGTGTGTGTGTGTGTGTGTGTGTGTGAGAGACCATCTGTCAGGTATAAATTCACCTGTACGGTTATAGAAACAGGGTCCTTGTTGCTAGGAGATATTTATCCCAGCTGCTTGCTCACATTAGCACACGGTCCCTGACATTTTCCAAAGCAGACGAGGTGACGAGCAGCAGAAAACACTCGCTTGAATATTGTAAAGATGTCAGTGAATAGTGAAACTTTACCAGTTCATTTAAAAAGTTCATGTTACTTTTCTGAAAATGTAGAATTTTGGCGCCTCGAGCTTCAGCTCCTCCATCTGTATGTCCAAGTATGCGCAGCAGGATAAGGTGATGTGTTGAGTTCAGTGTAACAGAACAGAATAGAGTAGAAAAGCCTTTGATTGTCATTGTGCATGTACAACAAAACCAGCTGTGCAGGAATAGAAACAGCAGGACATCAAGCATGAATACCAGAGACGGGATACAGCAAAAGGATTGTGTATGTATTATGTTCCGGGGGTGGCAGAGGGCAGACGCTGATGTTCTGGGTGGTGCTAGTTACCCTCTGTGCAGGACCAGCACCAGCTACTGGTGCAGGTTGTTGTCCCTCAGTACATGGAGGAAGTGCAACCAGGGTGGTGATGATGTGGGTCCAGGTGAGATCAGCCCAGAAACCTGAAAGTGGATCCATCTGAGTAGCAGTCAAGTCCATTTAACCTTGTAAAGTTTTAAGGAGTCACATATTCCCCAACTTTCCTCATAAAGCTAACATTTTCCTCGCCCGTACTCTTAATGATGAGTTTCGCCACCTTGAAGTATATGACTAATGACAGTGTCACTAAGTTCTGGCAGTGATTAGATTGTTTCTAGCTGTCTGTGAATGAGCAGGTTTCAGTTCAGCAGCGGACGTTTAATCGAGGAGCAGTTCGTCTTCCATTTATGGTTTGTTGCAGCACGACGTCAGCTTCATGAAGCCGCTGCAATAATCTGGTTCGGGAACACTTTATGGCTCCAATTGTGGATGACTTTGCTGTTATTTATTAACTTTGATAACACAACCATTGCGTGACGTTGGTAGTTGATGCAGAATTTGCTCACACAGTTATGATACACTGAGTGTATCAGTGAGTCATCGCACAGTTTGGTCCAGTTCATCCAGGTCGCTGCTTTTAGTCTTATTTCATTTTGAGGTTTTGTTTCAGTCCACTTTAGTTTAGTTGGTCTCTACAAACAACAGAAACTAAACAAATGTGTTTAATTTGATTTCAGTTCATTCTATGAGTGCACAGCTGGTCTTTGACTTTTAACGAGAACAACCTTGGTTCAGGTTTTTACACAGAGCAGTTCTCTGACCTTGTGTCACGATCAGTATTAAGTCTCCCCTGTGTTTCATGTTGTCTCATTATGTTTCCTGTTTTATTTTGAAGAGGTCACGTGTTCCTGTGTTCGTTGTGTTTAGTTTTACTCTTCTACTGTGATGTCATTATGTTGATTTGTGTCAGCTGTTTTCCCCATGTGTTTCCACTTCCCCTTCACCTCCTGTGTGCTGTTGGTCTGTGTGTGTTCATTCATGCCTGGTCCGAGCATCTGTGTCCCACCTTGTGTCCATGCCAGGCCTCTGTGTTCATGTTTTGTTATGTTTGGCTCGCCCAGTTTAGGTTCGGATTGAGTTTTTCTTTGCTAAGATCAGCCTCAATAAACGGCTCGTTTTCAGTTAATATTACGTCTTGTTATTTTGCGTGTGTTGGGTCCAGCTTCTTCACCCCCCACAGTCTGCCTCTGCCAGACTGTGGCACCTTGTTCCTGACTTTGTGCACATTCTGCGCCGTCTATTCCACAATAATACACAGGAAGGAGAACCTTCCCTTTTCTAACACCAGAAACTGATGCTAGCCTGGAACTTGCATGACTTTCTCTCTGCATGTAAAGAAGAAAGATCTGGACTGGATGTGGTTGTCCTGGTTTTTCCTGTTTTTCCTGAATTCCAGTTCCTCTTGCTGTTTATGGTGTAAACAGGGATTGATGCTGGTCCTGGCTCAGGGTTGGATTACATTTCTCTTTCTCTGACACCAGCAGCGGATTCTTCAGAAGCTTAAATGCAGATAAGATGCCTGAAAGTGAAAACTGTGCACAGAACGTGTGTTTTGAACACAGCTCAGTTTGAAGCTCGACTGTTAAACTGCTGATGATCTGACGTGTGACACGTGTCGTCTGTTTGCAGCTCTCCGGTGGATGTGAGCTGACTGTCGTTCTCCAGGACTTTGCAGCAGGATGCGGCACAGAGATGTCTGTCAGCACAGGTGTGTTTTATTCATACATAGATTTAATCCCCCACACTCAGAGCTCACGTGTCTTAAAGGACAAACTTTATATACAACACACACAGGTCCACATAACACATTTCCTAATGAGCTCTTCCTGGGACGCGAGTCTGTTATTCAGATTCACTGTGGTGAAAGCTCTGGGCAGTTATTTTAATATGTAAAGGAAACAGCTGTGTGGTTTAGGAGACTCTTTTATTTTAGTCCGACCATCAGTGAAAAAATAAACTTCATCCTTTATTCAGTGACACTTAAAACCAGAGATGAAGGCCTTAAACGCCAACCACTGCTTCAGTCTTCAGATGTGGAGGCTTCATCCATCTTTTAGGTTGAGCTAAATCCAAGTTTCTGTTTTCTTTAACATTTAGTATTCAAACCTGTCTTCCATACCTTGTAGTATAGTTTTTATCTTCTCCACCTTCCAGGTCAGACAGTGGAGCTGTTGGAGCGGCCCAGTGAGCGGCCCGGATGGTGTCTAGTCCGAACCACTGACCGCAGCCCACCGCAGGAGGGACTGGTTCCCACGTCTGTCCTCTGTGTTTCCCACTCACGTTCTAGTGTGGAGATGGACTGTTTCTTCAGTTCAGGGAAAGGTAGGAAGACGAGTCACATATCTTCGTATTCAATGCTTTTTGAGGAGGAACCAAGACGAAGGATAAAAATCTGTCATTAAATATGCACTATAGGGTGATCAGCTTCTAAGCAGCCTTAAATCTCCTACTTATCCTCAATTCTTAATCTCTTGCATGTCTTTATGCACTGTTTTTGTTTTGGTAACTTTATATGGGAGTCCTGGCAACACTGTGGCAAAAGGAAAGAACATAAAGTAAATTTCAAACAATGACATGTTATCTTCTTCACTGGTCTTTATATTTAACCAGGCTGACAGAGGCACAGCTGGTCTGTGCTGACCTCTGCTGGTGAGATGAGGGCATTAGTCATACTGAGGTGTGGCTCTCACAGAAGGCTGTCACACAGCCAGAGCACATGGAGGGAACGTGGAAAGTGTGGCTGTTAGTTTTGGAAAGTCACTCTGGTGTTTCCCCCGTTTGGGGAAGTGTGCTCACTGACTGTGAGTGTAATTCAAACGCGTTCCAAAATGCTGCTCTTCATTTCTCTCTTACTGCCATGTCTGAATTTGGAGTGTGTGCGTTTATGATCCAGGATGATCCTGCATGTGTAACGGCTCTGAAAGCGAAGCAAACATCTGTTCTGTCCTGCTGTAACCCACAGTGGCAGCCTGCCTGTTGTCTCTGCTGTGAACTTGAGCAGTAATGTCTGACAGAGATGAGATGACTGATAATGTGAATGATGAAATGATCCCATTAACTTTGCCAAGAACAAAGACGGTGAAATTCTGTGAGCCGTGGGACGCAACATCAAAATTTGAAGAAGCTCTCCTGTGCATCCTGTCGGTGCAGCTTTCCATCCTTCCACCTGCAGTCTGATGTGTGTCCTACAGGGGGAGCAGTGGAGCTGCTGGAATGCCTTCTTCCTGCATCTGTCCCAGGTCATCTCTGTGTGTGCTGAGGAGTAATGCACTGAGTCACAGCAGTTTGGTTTCCTTCTATATCCGTCCTTCCTGACGGTCTGTTTCCAGCTTCGCGGACACCACGGAGGAGCTTAGCTCTGCACTGTTGTCTCACTTGCACTCACACAGACACAGAATCAGCTGATTTGCCTGCTGCAGCCACAGTGTTTCCTGCTTTCGAGAAAATGACAAGGGCGCTTTGTATTTGTGCGGAGCGATGCAAATTGGCCAACTGCAGCCGCTACACATGGAAATATAGCACATTTAGGAGGCGCTCCCATCCCGGACGGTGGGGCTGACTTTTCCAGAGTAGGTCCAGACAAATATATCATCAGCCTCCAATGCAGACTCCTCCTGTATCATGTGACTGAACCTGTCTGCTTACACAATAGGATAATTAAAGGCAGCCACAAGCTGATGGGTTTGTCATTAACAATCGTCAGTTTGTTAATAAATCAGTCAAAACTGCTCATTAACCCGTTTAAGTCCCGCCGAGCTGTTTCAAGCTTCCCTCTGTGTGTCTCGAGTCTTGTGACTGCTCTGTAAAGTAGGTCTCCTTGTCCTCTGAAAGACTGTGAAGAAAGTGTGGGTTTAATGTTAACTGAACTGAAAGTCAGACCTGCTGGACCTCAGAGGACCTGAGAGCTGCGACGCATCACATTAGAGACGGTTTTGGGGCACTCCTCCATTCCTGGAAAATTCCTTGAACTGATCTTAAACACTGAGTTCTCCTGAGAACTAATTTTTCCCTTAAGAACACTGAATGTCTAAGGTACCTAAGATTTTACAGCATTCATGAACGTGTCGTCCTGTCACACACAGAGCGTGGGAACATTAGTTTATATCTGTGTCACGTTGTCTTGATTATCTCCATTTTCTGAAAGCTTTTTGAAAATAATTAACTGGCACTTTACTGCAGCATCGTTCCATTCTCTTTGCTTTTTGCTGCGTAGCGACAGTAGATATACAAGATGAACAAAATGGGACACTGCAGGGAAAAGGTGCTGGTGAAAGCACGTTATCTAGGCTAAGTGCGCGTGCTTACCTGCTGCTGCAGTGCACACACAGCAGGAAGCTGTTTACAGTCCTCTGCTCGTTCAGATGCAGAGGACCCACTAAGGAAGATCAGAAAATAAATGCAAGTTAATTTTAATAATAAAGTTGCTTGGCTCTAGCTGTGCCAGCAGCTTCTGCAGTTCTGATGAGTGCTGTCAGTGGACACACTCCCACACTGTAGGCACTGGGACGTCAGGAGTCAGTGGAACTTTTGCTGTCACTCAGGTACAGGACATGTTGTTTGCTGCTGGTGAATGTTCACATACCAGGCAGCCGTCTCGTCTTTTTAAATGCAAAGAGACGTTTTTGCTACATTGTTGAATCAAACACACTCCCGTGTCTTTGTGCAGTCCTGCCCTCCACAACGAGGAAGGTGCCCGCTCAAATAATTAACAGGGACTCGTATTCCTTTGAGCCGAAGCGCGTGGGGAGGGGAGGTAGAGGGAGAAACTGAACAACTTTGTCTGAGAGAGAGAGACAGAGAATGTGCTCCTCCCCCATCTCCTCCTCCCACATTACTAAAACTCTCTCTTTGCTGAATCTGGGCAGTGAGGACTCGAAACTCTTGAAATTCACACTCAGCCCAGGAACAAGCTGACGAACTGGTTAGCAACCGAGTCGGACGTACTGGAGGGAGGTGTGTCTGAGGTTGTGTGTGAGTGTAGGATGTGTGTGTGAGCAAGAATGAAGAGAGTCGGCCGTTGCTGTGGATGGGTCCTCTCCCGCTGCTGCTGCTACAACGGCACAGGTGCGACACAGACACACAACACTGGACTTCTGTGAGGCTCACTGAACACTGGCTCGTGTTTTCTATGTGCGTGCGTGTGTGTGTGAGAGACAGATTAGTTGATTTTGACAGATTTGAGTGACTGAATAAGTCCGTCCTGTGGACAGATGATGGAAATTAGTCTTTTTGGAAACTGATTTGAATTGAAAATGAAGAGTGCAAAAGGAAGCCGTGTGTCAGCCAGGCAGAGTGTGAAAGGCCACTTTCTTTCTTCTCTGTCTGGAAAGTCAAGTGTTCGATTGAGCAATCAGTGTGTCGCTGCACTGTGTGCGTGCGTGTGTGTGTGTGTGTGTGCGCGTGCATGAGGACACACTGTGGACTTTGGCCTAACAAGTCTTTGAGTGTCATGTTAAAAACTGTGTAGAGTGCACCGATTGGCATGCAGCCGAACTGGTCACACTAGTTCCAGTTCATTATTTTAACAGGTTTATACATGCCACTCAAATAATACGGGCGCATTAGATCCCAGAGACGCGCAGCTCTGCGGTCCACGGTCCAGGCCGTCTCAGCGGCTGCAGAGGGCCCCGTGTCTCAGTTTAACTGTTGAGGACACCAGAGTCTGAAAACTGTCTCATCTCTTGTAAGGAAATGGGAAACTCCTATGCCGTCCTTTTTTTGAGACACACAGGCACATGCACACAGAGACACTTCCTCATTCACTGTGGAAATACTAAATAATTGACTTCTGGGGTCTTAAAGTGATCCTGCGTCCTGTCCTTTGGCCATTAAACCTGAAAATGAGCAGGAAACGACTCTGATCCTCAGGGACACACACACACACACACGCGCACACACGCGCACGCGCACACACACGCACACGCACACACACACGCACGCACACACACAGTCTCTGAGCAGAGATAATGGCAACATTATGCTGCTTCATCAGCTGAGATTCGATGTTTTCGGTCTCGTCCAACCTGAAGCTGAAGCCTCGCTTCGTCTGTTTCATGGGTTTGTCTCATCGATGATGCAAACATAGCTGACTCTACTTTGACTTTATTCATACATTTGAAATGAGATGAAAGAGTAGATATCGGGTTCAAATGGAGGTGACAGAGATGACTGAGTAGTGACGGTAGACAGATTTTTTGAATTCCATGTTTTCAGAGAGCGTGAGCAGCAAACTGAAGTGAAGGATCTGTTGTGGGCTTATCGTGCTCCCAGATACGACGAGAAACACTCATAGTAAAACACATCAAATGGAAATTGAATTCCAGTGAAGAGCATCAGAGTCTCTTTGCTTACCACACAGAGCTTCTGCTTTATTTCTCTTTTTTCACTGAGACATGATTTTACTGACAAACCTGTAAAAAAAGCAACATTGTCTTTGATGTTTTCAACATGTTAACGTTTTATTCACCTGCTCAGTCTCTGGAGCCAGCTTTACAACCAACCCTGCTAGCATTAACAGATCTTCACTTTATCAAATCTGGGGCTCAATAAAAGCGAACATGGCTGCAGCCACATTCGGCCAATGAGTCTTTAAAATTAGGAGTACAGATGATAGTGACATTGCAGACTGTCGCTACGATCTTGGAGGAGGTGCTTTTCTGCTGAACAAAGCTGGATACTGTGTTCTCCTTTGGTCCTACTTATGCTTTTGGTGCAGCTCATCCAGTTTGACAAAGCCTGAGCTGAGCTGTCAGCGTGTAAGACCCAAACAACGTGGGTAAAAAGTTTGACAGTGTTTTAGTAGCTGTGACACAGACTGTGTTCCAGTACAAAACATATGCATTTCCAGTCCTGTGCCGTTTGTCAGAGCCAAAAAAGACTGGTCTGACGTCAGCAGCTGGTCACAAATGAATCGCTACATTGTGCAGTTTGGACAGATGTGATGCTGCTTTCCTTTCATGCATGTTGTCGTTTGACACATTCTCACTGAGAAGGCTGAAAACGATTTTGCGTTAGCTGCTTCATTTTAAGAAAGGGTGGAGCTCCACTGCTGATGGTACTGCTGTCGGTCAATCAGTAGATATTTCCACTGACAGGGTAAAAGTGTCTAATGCAACACAAAGATGTTGTTGAGTCATTATGGGAGGATCGATCTGATCTTTACTTAATTATCTGCGATGTACAGTCGTGTAATGCTGCTGCTTTGACCACTCGATCTTTGCAGCTCTGCAGCCAAGAAACTCGGACCGTCTTAGAAAACCTGATCGTGCAACGACGAAGAAAAATCCGGATAAAGTTGTAAAACAACACAAATGTGTTTGACA